ACCCAAACCCAAACCCAAACCCAAACCCAAACCCAAACCCAAACCCAAACCCAAACCCAAACCCAAACCCAAACCTGATAGGTATTGTGCAATCATGTCTACACTAAGATTCCTGCAATAATCATTGACACCCCAATTTTAATTTTTTTCTTTATCCTGCATCACAAATTAAAAGTTAATTTAATTTTTATTGTTTTATTTATATTTAAAATCATTTATATCAAAAACAAAGCATCAGAAAAATCATCAAAATTGATTATGAGAAATTATTGTTGGATCTCTTTCTAAAGAAATTGGTGACTTTAGCCAGAAAATAACATTAATTTTTGATTCCATTAGTATTCTTAACTTCAGATTATAAAAATATTGCTCTTATTGTAAAGATAATATTTAAATAATCATATGTATTCTCATTAAAATATTCTAAGATTTATATCTCATATAATTGATTTGAATCTTGAAAAATTGAAAATTGTAATTTATAAGATTACATGATATTTTTAATGAAAAAATTAAAAAACTCATTTTCATATGGAAGTAAAAATTCCAATAGTTTAGAATAATAGGTTAATAATCTATTCTAGTCAATATGAATATTAATTTAATCTATCTAGTATAAGTATGAGTTATGAAACCTTGGATAAATAGATCATGAGATTAATTTTTATGACTAAAAGAATCTGATTTTGCTGTTAGAGATTCAAAGAAGATCTTGTAGTGTTTTGAATAGTTTTCTGTAAAATTAACAATATTTGAACATTTAGCTAAATAAATTTTAACATATTTAAAACTAGTTGCTTTATTACAATAGCCAGAAAGTAATATTGATGAGGAGAAAGCCATTGAATTAGTTATTAGAAAGTTTAATGAAGCTTTTGGGATGGTTTATGTTCAGACTGATACAGTCTTTCCTAGTTAATAACTTTCTCTTTATTTCGTTCAATAAGAAACTAAAATTATTGGTTCTATCCATCTAAAAAAATGAATGATAACTGAGCCCTATTAGAGACTACTATGAAACAGGATTCAAAACAAATTTCTTGAGTTAAGTTAATTAAAATTTTATCTTATTAAATAATTAGGTGAAGATGATAATTATTAATCTTATGTTCTATAAATTTATAACTAGTAAAGATGCTATTGCTGGCTGTTATTCAGGTCTGAAAAATGTTGATTTTGTTTATATTTTTAAAGATAAAAGATATTCAGTTTTATACTCTTATTGCACATTGGTGGTGGGATGAATTGGGTTGTGAAAAACTAAGAATTTTTAAATATTTAATTGTTCCTCTAATCTTTTTTGTCTAACTTTTTATAAGAGCCCTTTAAAGTTACTTACAATAAAATTTAGTTGTTTGACTGAATTAAATTTGGATTCTTACTTTTGTTCACCTATTACATGATGATGTTTTTTTGCCCTTTTTATTAGATGCGATATGTTTCTAAACTACCTTTTGTTTTTGATCTGTTTCCTTGATTTAAATGAGATATTTATAAAAATTTTATTTACTAAAATATTATATAAAATTTTATTTAACTAAAAGATAAGTAAATTAAAAATAATCTAAAAACAATTAAATTATTGATAATTTTTTTGTATATTTTAAGTAAATTAAGTCAAAATTAAAAGATAGTTATGATAATCTTTTAGTGTTAGTTTGAGAAAGTAAGTTTAGAAATCCATGAATTCCATGCGCTACTCAAAAAAGGATTGAGGGATTGAAATGGTAACTACTGTGTAAAAATGTTAAAAAAAAGCTTTAAAACTTGAGTTTACTCTAATACCTAATGTTATAGAGATGCAATTTAATATCCATAAAGCTAATTTATAATTTTTAAAGGATCCTCTCTCAAACTTTCTTATTAATTACAATTCAATATATAATAGTAAGGATAATTTTTGTTGATAGCATAATGTCTAGTACTATCTTAGACGGCGTTGACTTAGAACTTTATTAGGTACTTAAATATAATTTATAGATCATCCTATCAAAAGAAGATTAAAAAGTAATTTAAATTAATTATAGAGAATGGCTCAGGTTAATAAGCAAACCAATAGAACTCAAGTGTAAAGGCTCGTAATTATGTAAATTAACAATGAATAATTTTATTCTATTAATTAAAAGTTACATTTTATTTAGAAGTAAACTTTATTGATGACTGTAATAGTATACTTAGTGAATTATTGTAAAAGAAGTTTTATATTTTATCAAAACAGACATCAAGTCTCAGCAACTAATATTGCCTATTTGTATTTATATAAAGTATTAATCAGAATCCCTCAAGAATAATAACTCTTTGACAACAAACTTTTTGTGATAAATACTGTCGTTAATCATAAAATCAACTGAAGATGTCTCTTGAATAATTAAATAAGATTTAATCTTATTTCCTATTCATTAAATATATGTAAAATAATCTGATAAGAAATTGATATTTTTTGAGTCATCCTGCATTAACTTTAAAATGTAGTTTTTTAATTTTATATTACAACTTATCATTAAATTTAAAAACAATCAATAAGAGCTTGAATATTTAAAACAATTTCAAAAATATTTCTAGTTCAAAAAAAACTTTTTAAATGTTATCAAAGTGAAATATCAAATTTTATTAAATAGAACTTTGACAATTTATCAGGTAATGAATTCCTTAAAGTTTATTAATTATTTATTAGAAAAGATTTTGATACAGCTCAAAAAATATATGGGCAGCAATATTTAAAAGGAAAAAGATAATGACAGTGCTAGTGCTATTAAGTATTATACAAGAAGCAATGTAAACTATTTAATAGAATCATTTTTAGGAGCTTAAAATTGCTTACAGAACTGAAGAAGCAATTTTAGAAATAAACAAGGCTTTGAATCTTAATCCTAAATATGCAGAAGCCTACACTTTAAGAAGTTCATTGTTTTAATTATCAATTTAGGTGAATTATATTACAAAATGGAATTGTATGATAAGGCTTTGTAAGATGTTAATTTTAGCTTGTCTATAAACAACAATAATGCAGAAAGTTATTATTAAAGAGGTATAAATTAAATCTTATAATTTAAGCAACTATTTATTGGAGATAAAAATAATTGAATCTAGCTTTAAAAGATTGTTGGAAGTGTGTTTAGATTAATAAAAACTTTGCTATGGGGTATTGTAGATTAGGTAACAAAGTAAAAATAAATATGTAGGCACGATTATGTGGGATTTGAAAGAAATAGATAAGGAACTCGAATATTACAATATGGCTATATAAAAAGATAGTAATTGTTATAATGCATTTATATGTCGAGGTAAAATAAAATAAATTTTTAAGGGTGCTTTCATATGGATGGACAAAAAGCTGACTTGGCATTAAGAGATTTCAATTAAGCAATTTAAATCAATCCACAATTTAGTTTAGCCTTTTATAATAGAGGTGATTAAAAATATTATAAAGAAGGCTATTTCTATTATTAAATTGGTGAGCAAGACAAGGCATTAAACGACTATACTAAAGCAATCCAACTGGATCCAAATAATGTGATAACCTATCGTAATAGAGGTGATTACTATTACACTCAATATATAAGGCTTTTTATATTCAAATATGGGTGACAAAGAAAAGGCATTAAATGACTATAACAAAGCAATCCAACTGGATCCAAATTATGCAATAATCTTTAATAATAGAGGTGAATACTATTACATTCAATATATAAGGCCATTTATATTCCATTATCGGTGAGAAAGAAAAGGCATTAAACGACTATAATAAAGCAATCCAACTGGATCCAAATAATGTGATAACCTATCGTAATAGAGGTGATTACTATTACACTCATTATATAAGGCCATTTATATTAAGATATAGGTGAGATAGACAAGGCATTAAACGACTATAATAAAGCAATCCAACTGGATCCAAATAATGTGATAACCTATCGTAATAGAGGTGATTACTATTACACTCATTATATAAGGCCATTTATATTAAGATATAGGTGAGATAGACAAGGCATTAAACGACTATAATAAAGCAATCCAACTGGATCCAAATAATGTGATAACCTATCGTAATAGAGGTGATTACTATTACACTCATTATATAAGGCCATTTATATTAAGATATAGGTGAGATAGACAAGGCATTAAACGACTATAATAAAGCAATCCAACTGGATCCAAATAATGTGATAACCTATCGTAATAGAGGTGATTACTATTACACTCATTATATAAGGCCATTTATATTAAGATATAGGTGAGATAGACAAGGCATTAAACGACTATAATAAAGCAATCCAACTGGATCCAAATAATGTGATAACCTATCGTAATAGAGGTGATTACTATTACACTCATTATATAAGGCCATTTATATTAAGATATAGGTGAGATAGACAAGGCATTAAACGACTATAATAAAGCAATCCAACTGGATCCAAATAATGTGATAACCTATCGTAATAGAGGTGATTACTATTACACTCATTATATAAGGCCATTTATATTAAGATATAGGTGAGATAGACAAGGCATTAAACGACTATAATAAAGCAATCCAACTGGATCCAAATAATGTGATAACCTATCGTAATAGAGGTGATTACTATTACACTCATTATATAAGGCCATTTATATTAAGATATAGGTGAGATAGACAAGGCATTAAACGACTATAATAAAGCAATCCAACTGGATCCAAATAATGTGATAACCTATCGTAATAGAGGTGATTACTATTACACTCATTATATAAGGCCATTTATATTAAGATATAGGTGAGATAGACAAGGCATTAAACGACTATAATAAAGCAATCCAACTGGATCCAAATTATGCAATTATCTTTTATAATAGAGGTGAATACTTTTTTTACTAATATTTTAGCCATACTATATAAACATATAGGGAAGCATGACGAAGCATTAAATGATTATAATCAAGTATTTCAATTAGATCCAAATTTTGTTCAGGCCTTTTTTGGAAAAGGTTTTATCTCCATAATAGTAATTTAGGCCTTCTCTTATAAGAATTGAAATAATATGAGCAAGCAATAATCTGCTTTGATAAAGCCATTTCTCTTGATCAAAATCATATTAATGCTTATTTTAACAAAGGTTTTATGTTTAATATCATTTAGCAATTTCATTAGAATAATTGAACCAATTCTTTTCAGCAATAAAATATTATAAAATAGCATTAACATTAAACCATCCTTCTTAAAATTAGATTTCTTTATAAGTCAGCATACTTCGAGAATTTTTATGATAATTAGCTTTAAAGCAATAAGTTGTAATATTTAATTATTGTTACACAATAAATAAAAAAATTAATCTAATTAAAGTCTTACTTTCTCAATTAGATATCGAAACTAAACATCCTTTTTTATAAAGTGTTTTCAAGCTCTCTTAATCAATTTACTTTTTTAGAGATTCAAATCCTTAAAAATAAGGATCTGGAATTAAAAAACTCCGTCATCTTTAAATTCTCAATTTAAGATTTCATTTTTTATGAATTTATTAATTTATTATTTAAAGAAAATTTTCTTTCTGAATTGATTCTAAAAAGTCTTTAATCGAATTAATTTCTTAACTTAAGGTATTATAGATAACTTCTTATCTTAAATATTTGATTATTTATATCACAGTCAAATTTGTAAGAAATTTATAATTTAAATCCAAATAATTATGATCCTTTTTTTTAGATATCAGGTGAGTTAAAACGGATATTTTAATTTTCTTTAACAAAAATGTTTCTTCTTTTTAGAGATTATATAAAATTTTTTAATGGCTTTCAAATAAATTAAAGTGGTACAGGGCAGAATATATCAATAAAAAACTATTCTAAATTTCATACTGTCTAAATAGAAAACCCCTCCTAAGTTTAA